ATAAAAGGAAGTCCTTCTTCACCCAAAGAGTCATTAACACGTGGAATTCACTGCCACAGGAAGTGGTGGCGGCTACAAGCATGGACGGCTTCAAAAGGGAATTAGATAAGCATATGGAGCAGAGGTCCATCAGTGGCTATTAGCCACAAGGTATAGAGAGGGACTCTGGGGCAAGCGATGCTCTGTATTCTTGGTGCTTGGGGGGGTCAACAGTGGGAGGGCTTCTAATGTCCTGGCCCCACTGGTGGACCTCCTGGTGGCACCTGGTATTTCTGGCCACTGTGTGATACAGAGTGTTGGGCTGGATGGGCCTTTGGCCTGATCCAACATTGGCGTCTCTTATGTTCCTATGAGAGGGTGGTGGTGTGGGGGCTTGCCTAACCCCCTCTCCTCTCACTTCCGGGTCCAGTGGACCCCCCCCCCGCACGTGCCCCTTGTCTCCCCTGTGGGTGAGGAAGAGTGTGCTTTGACCAGAGGCTGAAGGACTCCGCTTTCTGTCTCTCCTGGGAGCTCTCTCTGATACCTCCTCCAAGCTGCTGGAGGGAGCGGTCATGCCCGTTGGCTTCCCTGGATGCCTGGCACTCACTGCTCCTGTTCTCCTTGAGGTGTCGATAAAAGGCGTGGGCGCTGTAGTCCATGGGGCAGGAGGCTGCTTTCTCTTTCCACAGTTAATTTGGAACCCCTTTGGAAACATGGAGGGTGGAGGGGCTTGGCGGGGGTGGGTGTGGGAGACTCGTCGTGGACTTGCTTGCTTGCGCCTGGCAAGAGGCCATCCAGGAGCCCGGTGCCTTCAGCTCTTTCCGGGGCAGACGGCAGCCTTCTTGCCGTCAGCAGTTAACGGGAGGAAGATGAATGTTCAGCCCACAGCAGCTCTCTCCATAGCAGCGAATGCAGGTTTCCTGTGGGCATCGTTAATCAGAGCTCCTTGTGGCTGAACGACTCGCAGTGCAGCACCAGGCTCTGGGCAGGCAGCCACCTCGGAAACTGCCATGGCAGGGGAGGCGAGGCAGAATCCCGGTGCCGCCAAGCATCCAGGGGTCCAGAGTAGAAGGCGGCTGCAGGCGGGGCTGGCGGCCTCTGACGGGAGGTCCTTGGCTTAACCTCTGGCAGATTCCGTGCAGGCAGTCTGAGCCCTCAAACACTCGGCTTCTGCCGAGTCAGAGCCCTGGCCCGCCAGGCTCAGCGCTTGTCCACCCTGGGGGGCAGTGGCTCTCCACGGCAGCGTGCCGACCTGCCAATGCCCAGCCCTTTGAAGTGGAGGAGATGCTGGGGAATGAGCCCGGGACCTTCTGTGTGCGAAGCAGCTGCTCTGCCTCTGAGCCACGGCCCCTCCTTGGGTTGGCAGAGGCCTGTGGTTCACAGGACGGTTCCTTCTTTAGCTTGCTTGAGTACTTGGAGCAGCCATCACACCTCAGCCAGGATGGAGCTATTTGTCCGTTCCCTGGGGGCCTCTGAGTCTGCGTGTCCCTGGACTCCTTTCCTTCCCATTCCATCTCCGTCTCCAGCAGGCCTTGGTCGATGGCAGCCCCGTCAGAGGCCTGCCAGGCAAGCCGCGGTACCAGCCACCGAGAGGCATCCGAGCTTTCTTGGTTTCCTGGAGGGGACAAGTGAAAAGCCAGGGCCCTGTGAGTCGATCCAGTGAAGGTTTCCGTATTTAGCCTCTCTGCGTCTGTTAATTAGTTGAACAAGTCGCTTTCTCTCTCTCTGCTTCCACCCAGCCTGGTGCGTCTTGTTCGTGAAGAGCCGTCTCTGTGATTGGCCCTGTGTTTTGCTGGGCATCCCCAAATCCCTGACCTCTGTATGCCTGTTGCGCGCAGTCATAAGAACATAAGAGAAGCCCATGTTGGATCAGGCCAATGGCCCATCCCGTCCAACACTCTGTCACACAGTGGCCAGAAACACCAGGTGCCCTCAGGAGGTCCACCAGTGGGGCCAGGACACCGGAAGCCCTCCCACTGTTGGACCCCCCCACACACAAGCACCAAGAATACGGAGCATCACTCGCCTCAGATGGAGAGTTCCTATCTATACCTTGTGGCTAAGAGCCACCAATGGACCTCTGCTCCAGATGTTTATCCAATTCCCTCTTGAAGCCGTCCATGCTTGTAGCTCCCACCCCCTCCTGTGGCAGTGAATTCCATGTGTTCATCACTCTTTGGGTGAAGAAGGACTTCCTTTTATCTGTTCTAACCTGACTGCTGAGCAATTTCATGGAGTGCCCACAAGTTCTCGTATTGTGAGAAAGGGAGAAAAGTACCTCTTTCTCTACCTGCTCTATCCCATGCATAATCTTGTAAACCTCGATCATGTCACCCCTCAGTCGTCGTTTCTCCAAGCTAAAGAGCCCTAATTACTTAAACCTTTCCTCATAGGGAAAGTGTTCCAACCCTTTTATCATTCGAGTTGCCCTTTTCTGCACTTTTTCCAAAGCTATAATATCATTTTTGAGGTGTGGTGACCAGAACTGCACACAGTACTCCAAATGATGTCGCACCATTGATTTATAGAGGGGCATTATGATATTGGCTGATCTGTTTTCAGTCCCCACTGACTGGCCAGCTGAACCCCTTTGCAGTGGGCCCGTCCCTCCGAGCCTCTGTCCTGAGCTGCAGCGCTTCCCTGGGGAGTGGGGTGTGACTCTTGCCTCTGGCTGGCGGCAGCTGGGTGGGCCGGGTTTATTAGAGTGCTTCTGTCCTGCAGACGCTCTTAGCCAAAGCGGATGAGGCCGCTGACAGCCAAAGGCTCATAAAGGGCATCAGAGCAACAAACAGAACGAAAGTGGGGTGAGCCTGGCGCGGGGGGAGAGGGGCAGCTGTGCCACGGAGGGTGAGCGAGTGGGTTGCCCCGTGGGAAGGGAGGCCTTTGTCTTGTGTACGGGAGCTGTTTCTGGGCCCAGAAGGATCCAGGGCCAAGGAGCCAAGGGTCTACGGTCACCCTGGATTGCTTAAGAAGTGTTCCTCATACACAACCTTCCCTCTGGAAAAGTGAAGCGAGGCTTCCCGGTCTCCTCCTAATCCCACCCCCCCTCCTCTCTGGCCCTTGTTGCAGTGGGCGAGAGCTGGCTCTGCCAGGTTTTGTCTACAGGCAAAATACATTTTGTCCCTTAGTCTTGCCCTCCTGTAGGACTGGCCTTCTGGAACCTGGATCATCTCCCTGGCTCTCCCACATACCAACATCGCCCCCGAATGCCTGAAATGCAGCACACCCAAAACAAGATTTGCTACCAAACTGGGAGCCGAGGCCCAGACGCCATCAGGCTCTCTACACTTTAGAACCCACACTCTTGGCTCCACACTGTATGCAGGCATTATGTGATAGAGTCATAGAATTGAATCATAGAGTTGGAAGGTACCTCCGGGGTCATCTAGTCCAACCCCCTGCACAATGCAGGAAATTCACAAATACCTCCCCCTCCACACATGCAGTGACCCCTGTTCCACGCCCAGAAGTTGACACACACACACACCCCACCAGGATCCCTGGCCAAAGAAGGAGAGCCCACCGCCTCCCGAGGAAGCCTGTTCCACTGAGGGACTGCTCTAACTGTCAGGAAGTTCTTCCTCATGTTTAGCCAAAAACTCTTCTGATTTAATTTTAACCTGTTGGTTCTGGTCCAACCTTCTGGGGCAACAGAAAGCAACTCCGCACCATCCTCTGTATGACAGCTCTTCAAGGACTTGAAGAGGGTTCTCATATCACCTCTCAGTCATCTCCTCTCCTGGCTAAAAAGACCCAGCTCCTTCAGCCTTTCCTTATAGGGCTTGGTCTCCAGACCCCTCACCCTCTTCACTGTCCTGCTCTGGACACATTCCAGCTTGTCTGTGTCCTCCTTAAATTGTGGTGCCCAAAGCTGAACACAATACTCTAGGTGAGGTCTAACCAGAGCAGAGTAAAGCGGTACCATCACTTCCGTGTGATCCGGACACTGTACTTGTGTTGACACAGCTCAAAATCGCATTTGTTGTGTGTGGGGTAGCCAAAGCCAGGGCTGGCTGGCAAATCCTGCTCTGCTGCCCTCGACTGGCCTTGTGACAGGGATTGGGCGAGATCACACTGCGTGCTGCCAGTCCCTTCCGGGATGCAGGAGTTTAGCGTCGAGTTTCTAGAGGGTCCCAACAGATGTGTGTCCCGAGCGTGAAGGCAGAGGGCTGGCTGGCTGGCGGCACACTGGATTAGGGTGTGGATTACATTACATTACATTTCTATACTGCTCCTTCCCGGAGGCTCGGAGCGGTTTACACATATACATTGAATCGCCTAACTAGCGACACATGGATGCCTTAGCAGGCACCTACGCAGCGTAGGTCTTTCTGTGGCGGGGTCTTGCTAGGACCAGGCGGTAGTGTCCTTCGGCGGAGGTCTTTTGCCATCTCTCTGGCTTGGCTTCCTGGGATGGTCCTTTTATGGCGCGCGGCTGCACGATGAGGTTGCAACTGGTCTCTGTCCCCGAGGCTCCGACCGTGCTTACGTGCCTGATTCCTCAGCCCTCTTCTCTGCCTTGCAGAGTGTGAGCACCTGATCCGCCACATGCTGGTGTTGGACCCCAGTAGGCGGCTCTCCATGGAACAGATCTGCAAACACAAGTGGATGAAACTTGGAGAGCTGGACACAGAGTTTGATGCGGTGAGTGTCGCTTTACACCTGTAATGCTTTCTCCAAGGGCCCAGGTTCCATGGTACGGATGTTCGCGTTCTGTACATAGCATATGTCATGCTCATTGGATTCCTGTGGCCTACCGGAAGAGGCTGAGGTAGCCAGCGATACCTGAGCAGGTGGGATTCGTAGCAGGGCAAAGAGCTGTGACTGGTACAGAAGACCGGAATGTGTTAAAAGCATCTTGCTGGCGATAAGAGAGAACCTTATTTCTGCCATGCCAGGGAGGGGGTTTTGGTGTGGGGTTTGGTGGGGTTTTGGAGCCAGACCCCCCCCCCACATACACTAAACTGCTCAAAGTAAACACCCTTGGTTAGAAGCAGTGTGCCAGGAGCAGGACATAGGTGTGTCCCATACTGGGTAGCAGGGCTACTTGTTAAAAGGAAGGGGCCTATGAGGCAGCACGACTCTCTGGTGAATTTTGCTTATTCGTTTATTGCCGGGGGGCCCTTTTCCCCTTTGGGAAGCAAACCAGCTTACGTCATTCGCCTCTCCTCCAGTTTATCCTCACAACAATCCTGTGGGGTAGGTTAGGCTAGGCTCAGCCTGTGCGACTGGCTCAAGGTCATCCAGCCAGCTTCCTCATGGCAGAGTGGCGATTCAGACCTGGGTCTCCCAAATCTGAGTCTGGCACGCTAACTGCCACGCAGCAACGGTGGGCTGCCGTTTGCCCAGGCATCCTTCGAGAGTCCCTCAGCCTTTCCCTCGAGAAGCGGGTTGTCTGGGAGATGAGATGTTCCCATGTGCAGCCCTATGTTTGGAATGTGGCCAAAATCTTATGACCCCTAGGGCATGGCTGGTGGCCTTTAAATATTGGCTTCGGCTGCATTATAACTCTGACCCTTCCAGCTATATTCACCAGCTATTAATGGAATCTGAGTCTTCACCTTGGCTAGCAACCACAGAGAGTAACCCGGGAACTCTGAATATTCCCCTCGAATCTCTCCTTTTACTTTCAGAATCGGAGGCGTTTCAAAAAATAAGGAGCAGAGTACTGGAGACAGAGCTAGCCAATTTATACAGTGCAGCCAATAAGACCTGCTCTCCTCTTAGCCATGGGATACTCCCCACTGTAGGACTTCTCCCCAGTTATTTTTACCAATTACAAACCCCAAAAATCCGCAGAATTTTTTATCTTGCCAGGCTTAATGTTTTACCGTCAGCGATTTCAACCAGAAGATTTCAGGGTATACCTCTTATTAATAGACATTGCCCCTGTATAAATGGAGCTATTGAAACAGTGTCCCGTGTGTTGTTAGAATGTCCTTATTATAACAATATCAGACAAAGTATTTTATCTTCAATCTTATCTAGCATTATGGATTTTCCTGATGCATATAAACTGTTGTTTCTACTTAACAACACTGGTGACAATATAACTGATTCAGTGGCAAAAATTTTATATGTCGCCGTTTTTATACGAAGCAATATATTGTAATCTTGGGATATTTTAACTTGCAATTTTTTAATGTGTTTGCTCAATGTTCCCCCTTTTACAATGCCAATAAAGGTATGATGATGATGATGATGAGATGTCCTGTGTGGTTGGCCCACCGTCGGAGGCCCCAAACCCCGCTGCTGGTGTGTGGGGGGAGGGAGAGTCACGACAAATGTCCTGTGCTTTCCAGCTCATAGTGGAGTGTCACCAGGTGAAGGTCGAGAGGCAGATGGAGCCCCTGAATGACGAGGTGCTGCTGGCCATGGCCGAGATGGGGCTGGATAAGGAGCGCACCCTCCAGGTAGCTCCCCGGAGACACCCAGGGTTGGCAGGGCGGGTGGGTCTGCCGTGAAGGAGAGGGAAGGTGATGGCTTGTCTCTTTCCCTTCCAGTCCTTACAGACAGATGCCTACGATCACTACAGTGCGATTTACAGCTTGCTTTGTGACCGTTTGAAGAGGCACAAGAACTTGCGCATCACTGCCACACCAAGCCTTCCACGGACCATGACCTTCCCTGCCCCGGCAAGCATCCAGGTTGGCCTGGTGTGGGTGGAGCTGCCTGCCTTGTGCGTTGTGTGGTCAGGTCGCTGGACGTGTGCAGTTCGGCAGGCCCAGAGATCTTTCTGGGTCCGGTATCCAGCGGTGCCACCAGGCCCCAGGATCCCCGCAGCGTTCCTTGCACAATAGCGTCGGCTTGTTTCCCCTTTGCAGGCAGAGCCGGCGAGTAACACGGTGAGCATCAATGTGCCGCAGGTGCAGCTCATCAACCCCGAGAACCAAGTCGTGGAGGTAAACGGCTTCATCTCAGTGGCGTCTTTCTTGGGCGGCCCTTCGGTACCCTGGAAGCTTCTGATTCCTGGTGTGTTTCTGTGCCCCTAGACCGACGGAACCATGAACCTGGACAGTGACGAGGGCGAGGAGCCTTCCCCCGAGGCTCTGGTGCGCTACCTCTCCATGAGGAGGCACACCGTCGGAGTGGCCGATCCCCGGTGAGGCTTTGGGTGGCTGCAGCTTCTGCTTGGCCGTCGCGGCCTCGCTTCTCATGCCCATTCGGAGAGGGCGGCTTTCCCCTCTTGCCTGTCTGAGGTGGCGTGGGCCGCTTAGGGGGGCCTGTCCCCTCCTCTGCAGTCATGCGCCGCATGGCAGGGTCCAGAGGCCGTTTGGCCCGGGAGGGTTCCGGGCAGAAGTCAGACGCGCAGGTGTCCCCCAATCCAGACTCCCGGAGCCAATCCAGAATGTGGGCGGGGGGGGGCAGGGGGGCCTGAGGCACCTCTGAGTTGTGCCGGGTGTGTTTGCAGGACGGAGGTGCTGGAGGATCTCCAGAAGCTGCTGCCGGGCTTCCCGCGTATCACGCCGCAGGCCCCCTTCCTGCAGGTGGCTCCCAACGTGAACGTGGCTGCCAGCATGCTCCCCAGGCAGCACCTGCAGCCCACCGGCCAGCTGGAGTACAAGGTATGGGGCGGGAGGGGCGGGGCTGACCCTGGGAAGAGGTCCCTGTCCTGTGGGTGGACCGGCCCCCTCCCCCCCCTCCCTCCATTGGGCCAGGAGGTGCAAAATCTTCCCAACTTTGCTGCCCCATCCCCCCCCCCCAGCCCTGCCTTGGTGCGCATCCAGGAGCTGGTAGCGAGGACGGCTTCTCTTGCAGGAGCAGTCCTTGCTGCAGCCTCCAACTCTGCAGCTGCTGAACGGCATGGGGCCTCTGGGGCGACGGGCGTCAGACGGAGGAGCCAACATCCAGTTGCACGCACAGCAGCTCTTGAAGCGTCCTCGGGGTCCTTCCCCACTTGTTACCATGACACCAGTGAGTAGCTCAGAAGCCGTCTTGGTCTGCGGTGGATTCTCCTTCCCCCGGTTATCGCACCTTTCCCAGCGTGGGCGGCACTGAAGGCGGGCCGGCGGGCAGCCCCTCTTCTTGCTCTTGTGGCAGGGGGCAGGAGCAGGGTCCAGGGACTTTGCTCTCATTCAGGAGCCTCCCGAGAGCTTCTGAAGTGGCTCCCTCCGGGCAGAGGTGTCTTTTGAGCCCTGTGCGGGCGGGCCAGGAAAAGCCCGTCCAGGCTTCCCCTTGCAGAGCCCAGCCCTTGCTTTTCCCTCCTTGCAGGCAGTGCCCGCCGTGACCCCCGTGGATGAGGAGAGTTCGGACGGGGAGCCAGATCAGGAGGCCGTGCAGAGGTAATGCCCCGGCTGCCGCTGCTGCTGCCGCTGCCCCGGGGCACCTGGCGGCTGTTCTGGCCAGTTGGTTTGCTTGTGGCTCCTGCTTTGCCTTTGCTTCCTTGGGAGCTGAAGCTGTGGCCTTTCTCTGCTGCCTCTCACTAACGTCCTTCTGCTGAGTGGATGAGTCGATCTTGCCAGCCTTGGGGAAGGGGAGGCCTTCTGACACTCTCGGCCCTCACTCGTGGCCGCGACCGGAGAGGCTCGCGGCACTGCTGGGGATTGAATTTCCTTGAACACCCCTTCCTGGGCCACCCTAGGAGAGCCTCCTCGGGGTCCGGGTGGCCAGCCGCTTAAGGAGCAGCCTCCTGCAAGGCAGCGCGGGGGCCAGCCGTTGGGCCAACCCAAGCCAGAAGGGGGGCCTCGAACTCAGAGTCTGGCGGGGCAAATGCTGCCTTCGGGGGGTGGGGGTGGTGGTGTTCTTTTCCTTTTCAGAGACGGATGGGAAAGGTAGAGGCACGAGGACTCTGGGCATGTCGCTGGCAAGGCAGCTGGGACCACAAACTCATGGCGCATCCCGCTGTGGTGTATTTCCCCCGGATGCCTGAGCCCCTTTCTTCTCCTTTGGTGCTTCTGGGAAATGGAGAGCCCCTCCTCTCCTGAATGCACCACCCTCCACTGACCCCACTGTCCAGGTGATCCCGAAGAGAGAGCTACAAGATTGGGGGGGGGACACACGTCCCTCTGACCAGGCTGCCTTCATGGCCCGAGTGAGTTCCCCCCCCGTCCCGTGTCAGGGCCTGGGACTGCCTCCCGCTTCACCTGAGCCCCCCCCCCCGAGCTCTCCTCCTGGCTGTGGGTCTCTCAGCTGCAGCCTCTGTGCTCGTGTGGGTCCTTCT